TAAATATGGTTTAATCTTTGTAATTAGTAAGAAGAGGAGCTTAATTGTAATATTCAGATTAATAAGAGAGTTTGACTGAGATTATATGAGTTGACCTTTTCTCTCTATGTTCATAGTGTTCTTAATGCAATATCTATGAATCTGCCATTGAAGGAAGCTTAATATGAAGATTGATCAGTGTTATTGTGGACACACAATTATTTTAATTTTAGAGAAATACATGAAACAATTTCATTAAGTAGTATATGAAACAATTTCATAACTATATATGAAACAATTTCATAACTATATATGAAACAACTTCATCAAAAAAAGTATTATATGAAACAATTTCACAAGATTAACAATTTCATGAAAAAATTTCATAAGATTAACGACGGATGAGAGTAGTTTTTACGATTTTTACAAATTGGAGTGGTTTTCATTTTATAGCTCTTATATATATATATATATATATATATATATATATATATATATATATATATGATATGGATCGATTTTTAGTCCTATTATAATAAAAGAAATGAAGATTTTAATTTCTTTCCTACTTTAACAGAACTTTCTTTAATACAAAAAAGGACAAAAAATCTATAAATTTAGAAAATGGTAAATTGTATGGAAAAATAATGTACTTTAATTTGATTCATATTTTTAGTAACGTACTTTCGAAACTTGCATTTTGGTATTTAAGATGTAAAACTTTAAACATTTAAGTACCCGGATAACTGGTTGAAGACTAATTTTAGATTAAAAAAAATCCATGTCAGCAAATAATACTGAGTTGGATACCACATTACTCGACACATCAACATGATGACCGGTTAATGCTTCAACAGATTATTCGGGTACTTGAATTTCTATTTTAGGTAATGTACTTTCAAAACTTTTATTTTGGTATCTAAGATGTAAAGTTTTAAACATTCAAACACTCGGATAACCAGTTGAAGCATTAACCGGTTACCATACTGATGTGACGAGTGATGTAATGAAATTGGGTTGAATAACAAATAATACTGAGTTGGATACCATATCACTCGCCAGTCGTCATATGGTAACCGGTTACTCGAATACTTAAATGTTTAAAAATTTATATCTTATTCTTAAGTACAAACATAAAAATTTTGAAAATACTTTATATTAAATAAAAATCAAAAAATTAGTTTTTTTTCCATGCAATTTATTCAGAATTTTAATTTTAAAAAACTTATAAAAAATCTTAATCGACATATGAAGCCAGGTGGCATTTTATAATTTTCACATTTATTTTTTAATGATATTCGATATATACTGATTGCCTATTTCCGTACACTAAAAAGAAAAAGTACAACTTTTAATGCATAAAGTACAAGTAACAATGAAATCACAGTTCTGGAGTTAGCAATTCTTGCACTGGAAATAGATTCCCTTCATCTTCAACCTCGAGCTCTCCTCATCTTCACAAGAATCATCTGCTGTCACTCCAGCACACAAAACCCTAGAATATATTGGCCGTTTGTGTTGATTATTAGCACTCAATTGAAGAACACCCATCTTCAATTAGGGTTTCTTTTCTAACCCCTTTTGGTTATTTCCACAAATTCACCACTTTTTCCGCAATCGGATCGACCCCCCTTTTGATGTCGATGGAGATACCTTCTCATCCACCAACTTCTTCATCTGAAGAACACACCAACACCTCCAACATCGATGCAACTCCATTACTATCAACAACAACCTCCGCCATCTCCGACCAAATCTTCCGTAGCCGCCAATTCGTCAGAGGCCCACCTTCCCTCCGTGGCGCCGCGAGGTTCCTCCGCCGTGCAAGTAGCCGGCGGATGCTCCGTGAGCCGTCAATGCGAGTGAGGGAATCGGCGGCGGAACAAATCGAAGAGCGGCAGAGTGATTGGGCGTATTCGCGTCCTGTTGTTATTCTAGACCTGATTTGGAACCTTGCGTTTGTTGTTGTTTCGATATCGGTGTTGATTATGAGCCGGAAGGAGTCTCCGGTGATGCCGTTGAGGTCTTGGATTGTTGGGTATGGGTTGCAGTGTTTGGTCCATATGGGGTGTGTGTATGTGGAGTATAAGATTCGGTACCAGCGGCGCGTGGCGGAGTTTGGCAGCGGTTCAAGGGTGGAAGTTGGTAATGGGCATTCGAGTGCTTCGTCGATTTCGGTGAATGATGGTGGGGAGAATGTGGATGGTGGTTCTGCTAGGTTGCAGAATGATGATGATGATACTAGGTACAATTGCTAACTAAAAATCTTTTGTTAAATTTGCTGGTATAGGGGAAATTGTCTAGAATAGCCGATCAAGCCTTTGCTCTTCACTTTATAGCCACCTTTTCAAGAAAGTGACCGAAAAGGGGCTATAAAGTGAGAGGGGAGGCCTGATTGGCTATTTTGGGCAATTTCCCATTATATATGCATTATGATGTTGCATATCTTGAAGTTTGTGTCCATATAACCGTTATCTTTAGGGTTCCATAGGACTAGTCGCACGACACTCATGGTTACAAAAGAAATGGTCGGATGGATGTAAATATACTCTGTGTTTTGAGTCGCTTGTCATGTTGCCTATTCGGATTAAGTATTGTCCATGAATTGATAAACCAAACCAAAAAAGCCTAGTATATCCCAACTGAAGGTGGGGTTTGGGGGTAGGATGTACGTAGACCTGTAATCTACCCACCTGAAAGAGTGGTTATTTCCGTGTACACCCTCAGCTTGGGAAAAATGTGTGTGACAAAGAAAGCTTGATGAAATTAACGTCTACCCCAAAGAGTAGAGCAGTTGTTTCATGGAAACTTTTATCATATTTGTCTCTCTCTTTGTCACACTTTTCACAAGTCAAGGGTCTTCATGGAAACAACTACTCTACTCTTTGGGGTAGACGTTAGGTCTGCCTACGTCTTACGCTCCCATACCCCACCTCCAGGTGGGATGTAGGTGGGGTGTACTGTGTTCATTTAGTTTGATTTAGCAGATATAGTTACTCTCGAATCTTTTACATGTAGAACCATAAATCTTTATATTTCCATTGTAGTGGCACAACATATGTTTCATTATAACGATGCTAACAAAAGTTGCCATTTGGGTAAGGCGAAAAACGCAATCTTGAAAGAAATCGTGAAATCATGAATCCTTCCATGGTTTCATAAAATTGTCATATCATTTTTCTGTCACGCCACATCAACATTTTATAAACCTCTTTGTTTTACACTATAAAGTTGGTCTTCCTCTTCAGGTAGCATATTCATAGTTAGCACTAACTTTTTTTTTTTGTCATGCTCGTTAAGGGTGGTGCCTGATTGGTTTGAGCTTGGCTCCAAAGGTGAAAAGTACCAGGAGGTCCCAGGTTCAAATCCAAGGAGGAATAAAAATCCCTTTGTGGCCACGGAGGTTCAAATGCGGTGACTCCGGGCTATCTGCAAAGCAGGTGGTCCCCCTAGGATTAGTCGGTTCGCATAGCGGGTTGGAGATCCAGGTTAATCAAAAAAAAAAGTTGCTTGGCGAGTCTGTTGACAATTAGGTCCTGTAGATACTAGCATAACATTTCCTATTCATAGATCTGCGCGTCCATTAAAGTGGTACGTGAGCTGGGTTCAGAACGTCGTGAGACAGTTCGTCCGCTTTTTTTCTTGGCTGGAACATGTTATGATACGTCTTGTTTATCACGACGAAATGGGCGGAGTAGCTATCCCCATGCCGAAAATATTTGAAAAAAAAAAGATTCTTTTTTTGACATGATCCTTCTATGTATGAGGGAGCCAAAAATATTTACGATGTTCAGTAGCTTTTTGATGGCTTCCTAAATCCCACCCGACAATCATGAAACCTTCCATGTTTTCTACACTCTTGCGACTTTATAAGATTTTATAGTATCAATTAAACCAAACCCAATAAATCCCACACAAAGTAGGGTCTGAGAAGGGTAAGATGTACATAGATCTGAGCTAATATTATGGTGAACAATTGAAACAAGCCGGGGGTATTTATGGAAACAACCCCTCTACTCTTTGAGGTAGAGGCCAAGTTAGGTCTCCATACATCTTAGCCTGGAAAATTTACATAAATAGCCAAAGCTGATAGGTGGTTTCACTTTTTAGCCATGTTCTAACCCAAATTCACTATTTAGCCAATTCTTACGCAGAAACCTTGTGCATATGCGTAAAGATTATTATTTTTATTTTATTTTGCCGAAAACCAATCTTTGCGCATATGCATAAGTTCTGTGTAAATATTGGCTAAAAAGTGAATTTGGGTCAAAAAATGGCTAAAAAGTGAAACCTATCTGCTGATTGGCTATTTCCATCAATTTCTCCATCTTATCTTACCCATCCCAGACCCCACCTAAACGTTTGGTATGGCTTATTTTTTTTGCGTCTTCCTTCAGGAATTTAGCATCTATAGCGTTTAACACCTATTCATTTGGTGACTTCCTATCTTTTTTGCACATTTCTCACAAGCAAAAGATCTTTAAGGAAACAACTGTTCTACTGGTAGATGTTAGGTCTGCTTACATCTCACCCTCAGACCCCACTTTCGGGTGGGATATACTGGGCTCGTTTGGTTTGGTTTATATTGGAATGATTGAACTATGAATCGATTGTTATCCTCAGTTGTACTTCATACTTAGAAGTAAAGCCATTGAAATCAGCTTTTATCTATGGCAGTGTCGCTAAACATTTGGAATCTGCTAACACGATGTTTTCGTTCATTTGGTGGATCGTTGGATTCTATTGGGTGTCTGCTGGTGGCCAAAATTTGATTTCGGAATCACCTCAGTTATACTGGTTTGTTTTTCTTACCTTAGACGTTCTTAATCTGATACTCCCTCCGTCCCAAAATAAATGTCCACAATGAAAAAGGCACATGATGTAGAAATGTGTAATTTTTACACTTTTTAGTTAACTAAATGACGATTTTATCCTTGATAACGGAGGGAGTGATGAATTTCCGCATCTCATAATGAAGGTCAGAATTGGAAACCACATGATCTGTTTTTCAGGCTTTGTATAACGTTCTTGGCATTCGATGTCTTTTTTGTCGTTATCTGCGTGGCCGTGGCATGTGTTGTTGGTATTGCCGTTTGTTGCTGTCTACCTTGTATTATTGCAATATTGTATGCGGTGGCCGACCAGGTGAATTTTTTTACACGTTTGTTGACAATCGTTATGTTGCAAGTCTTCGATAAAAGTTCCGTTTTTTGTTTTCCGTCTTACGGTTTCTACAACCTTTTTGAGTATTGCCATTGTGGGACTAATTCTTTATCGGAATAGGAGGGTGCAACTAAGGACGACATCGACCGTTTGCCTAAATATCAGTTCAAGAGAATCAATGATTTTGAAAAACGAAGCGAGGAGATCCAAGAAGCTTTTGGTGGATTAATGATCGAATGTGATACCGATGCACCCATCGAGCATGCTCTACCACGGGAAGATGCCGTAAGTTATACCTTCTCGTTGAGTTATGCATGCTTGATAATCTACGCTCTCCGTCCCAAAATAAATGTGCACGGTTGAAAGGGCACACTCGTAAAATTGTGTAATTATTACAATTTTTTATTAATCAAATGACCATTTTACCCTTATTAATAGAGAATACACTCATGAATTATCGATCTCGTAATAGGAATGTTGCATTTGCCTTTGTGCTTACGACGATGGAACGTATCTCCGCGAGCTCCCGTGTTGCCACCATTTTCACGCTGATTGTATCGATAAGTGGCTTTATATCAACGCCACATGCCCGCTCTGCAAATTCAACATACTAAAGAACGGCAACCAAGGTAGCGATGACGTTTGATGCATTCATCGTTTCTTCACTGTCGCTTCATTCCGAATTGCGTTTTTAAGGTGAGTTTAGCGTATTATCACTCTACTTTATTGGTTAGAGGTAAGGCCTGCGTACATCTTACCTTACTTGGATCCCACTTCACGTGGGATGTACCGTGTTCGTTTGGTTTGGTCTTAGGTGAGTTTAGCGTATAATAATATGAGATTGTTGTTGAGGGACTATTTTTCCGCATTACGTGTAAAAATGGCGCACGAGATGTAAAGTATAATTTTTTTTTTTGGTATGTATGTTGTAACATATGTATGTATATTCTTTATGATATCTTTTTATGCCGCCCACGTTGTACTAATGTGTACTTCGTGCGTTGTTGGTTGTACGTTCACGGTGCAATCTCTTGTGGTTTTCTTCTGGTTCTTGTGCCGGTGTGGTGATAGCGAAGGTGACGATGGCGACGATGATTGTAAAATTGCAAATTATATTCTGCTACTATAAAGAATGTGTTGAATGATACATTTATTGATGGTTGCTATGTACTTGTGTATATTCACATGTGAATGTGTACTCGAGTAATAGTTTATGGTTGATATTCACATGTGAATGTATATGTATGCATATTGCAGTTGAATCAGAGTGTTCATAGACATACGATTGTATGCAAATGCTTACCAATAAGCGTTTACCCATAAATTCAACGTTATCATTTACTTACCGGGTAAGATTTTAGTCCACAAAAACGACATTGTATGCAAAAATTTACCTGGTAAGTGTTGACCGTGGTTATAGTCATCGTCCTCACTTGCCGGGTAAGAATCTTGATCATTGTCTCGTTCTTACCGAATAAGATTCTTGGTTCTTGCCGTATTTATTACAATAAGGTAATGTGATCTGGTGAACACTTACCCAAGTAAGCGTTTGGTAAACGACCCTTAAGTTAATTTATATGACCAAATGATAAGGTGAGATTATGTTTTGCATATGTGAGGTCTTATGTTTAAGTCTTTTATTGCAATTTTTTTTCTTTAAAAACATAATCAACCTGAAACTAAAAGCTAAAAACTAAGATATGACATTAACAGGATTCAAACTCGAAAGAAAAGCCTTGCAAACCAACTTAACAAAGAGAAACTTGTGTCTTCATCGTAGTTTCAAAATCTATACAGTGACACACAACAAATTGATACGATGACACTTTTTACGACACTATAATTTTTTATACTACAAAGAAGGAACAAAATGATGACATGTAACACCACAATTGGATGTAAATTCAGAAACTCAATTTTAATTACCATTATATCATTATGTTTATAAAAGAAAATAAATTAAAATAATAATAACTCATATTATATTATAAAATATTTGATAAACTTTTTAAAAAACAATTTTTATGTATGAAATATTGTTTATTGTTATATATTACTTAAAATTCAAGGTTACATGTAAATTGTACATCGATACAATTTATTAAAGTTTCATGTTTGAATTCGTGTAACTAACTACAGATAATCATAACCAAATACATGAAAAATATCATATTTTAAATACGAAAAATCTAAAATATAATTAAGATAATCATTAAGTTATAACATAATACCTAATTATTATCTTTATAAAAAATTATATTATTAAACCAAAAAATAAAACACTTCTTTATTAAACTTAAATTAAATCGTAATAAAAAATTATATTAACGAAATTACACAAAAAAATAAGAACTTTTAAATAATTAATTTGATATTAATATCAATATAAAAATTTTAAATTTTTATGTTGTGTTCAAATTTATATTTTATCCAAAAATAAAACATTATCGCTTCTTCAAAACCACATAAAAATGTATTATATCAATATAAATGAAATAAAATGAAACATTAAAATTGAGATGTATCTCGTTGCATTGTTTGAGTAAACTTTTAGTAATCTATACTATATTATAAAACATTTGACAAAAACTCTTAAAAATCATTTTTTATGCATGAAGTACTGCATATTGATGCATATTACTTAAAATTCAAGATTAGAAGTAAATTTTACATAAGTACAACTTATTAAAGCTACATATTTAAATTCGTATAACTAACTGCAGATAAACATAATAAAATAGAGGATAAACATCTCATTTTAAAATATAAATTACTTCGTTATTGAACCTAAGTTAAATTATAATAAAAAATTGAATTAAAAAAATTATACAAAAATATGAATTTTAAATAGTTAATTTGATACTAATATCGATATATTTTTGTTAAATTTTTACGATATCTTCAAATTTATATTTTATTCAAAAATAATAACATCATCGCTTTTTCAAAATCATATAATACCATATTATAACATCGACTGAGATAAATAATAAAATAAAATATTAAAATCATGATATATCCCGCCAGTACACTTCTAATAATAATAATAATAATAATAATAATAATAATAATAATAATAATAATAATAATAATTTACCATATTCAATATCTAAGATGAAGAGGAACACCGACGGCCACCCCTTGAGATATCCGTTGGCCATTGTTGTTGATCTTAATTGATATATTAATTATCCCATTACGTTCTCCATTTCTATCTCTCAATCTGTAACTCAACAAATGCAAATAATTCATCGGAAAATAACCCCCGTCAAAGTCTGACGTCGGAACCCAAGCTGACCCAATCAAATGATCGCCGGAAAACTTCCTGCAACGAACTTCCAACGTCAAAAACCTCGCATTCATGGGCATGTTCATGAAAAACTTCTGGTTCCATGTCGGGTTGGGCCCGTTTCCCGTGTCCATTTCGGTGGCTTCATCCGCGTTGGACTCGATCTTGATGACGACAAACGGGTTCTTTTTCACGCGGCGGTTTCCAGTGAGCGAAAGGGATTCGGCGGAGATGATTGTGAGTTCGATATCCCTCGAATGTCTCTTGGCCATTGTGTGTTAATTGTGGAAATATATGGGTGGTAAATATATATATATATATATATATATATATACATATATAACTGTGTGTATGTATATATATGAAGGGGATGAAGATGGGTGGCAAGAAGAAAGAAAGAGAAGGGATATTTCCATGCATACTCATGGAAAATGAGTCTGGTCAAACAAATATTACTTCTAAGGTTAACCTTTTTTTAATTCTAAATTAATTAGGGAAAAATGACAATAATTTTCATGAGTTTTAGGGGTTATTTGATACTTGCTGAATGATTTGGTACAAAATGATTAAATGGTCAGAATGATTAAGAGGCTGATATAATGCAAAATGAAATATAATTGTTCATGTACTTGTTTACAATAGAATTAGGTGCTGAATGGTTAAATGAGACCCATGATATAAAATCATTCAGAGGGTTTTAGAACCATTGATAAACAAATTTTTTTTTACCAAACAAGATTCACTCTTAGCAATTCAGAAGTTGTTTGTCTTTTAATCGAACTATTAAGAGATAAACAAACAGTTACTTAGTGAAATTGGAACTGAATTGCTAAGAGATGAATCTTGTTTTGAAAGTGGTTTTTAGTCACTAAGGGGCCGTTTACCAAATATTTACCCGGTAAGTGCTTACCGACAAAATTTAACACTATCATTGGCATACCGGGAAAGATTTTAGTCCATAAAAACGGTATCGTATGCAACAATTTACCCAGTAAGAGCTTACCGTGGTAAGAGTCATCGTCCTCACTTACCGGGTAAGACTTTTGGTCCTTGTCTCGCTCTTATCAGGTAAGATTCTTGGTCCTTACCATATTTATCTGGTAATGTAATGTGACTTGGTGTTCACTTACTCGAGTAAGCGTTTGGTAAACGACCCCTAACTCTATCAATACTCATTAGGGGTGTTTTGGTCTTTTTTTTCTTGAGTAAAAGACAATGAAATGAAAAAATAACGTAAATACTCCTCATTTAATGGAATTTTTTAACGGTGGTTAGAGAAAAGGACTTTATATGGACGTTTTTATAAACTATGATGACCATCTTGTAATTTAAAAAATATAGGGACTAAAAGTGTTATTTTTGATAAACCACAGACCAAATTTGTACTTTAAAGATAATGTTGTGAACGATGTCGTTTCAATCCTATCTATCATCTCTTACAAGAATCCATCTCCATCTCCATCTGCGTCTCGGCTCAAAGAAAATGGTTACTTCACTTTCTCATCGTTGCTCAACTGCGTTACGAGATTCCATTTCTATCCCCGGTTCGACCACCGTATTCAACCACCTCCCTCCACCTCTTTTCCTCCGGGTCCAATCTCCAACCGGTGGTAGTGCTGGTGGTGGTGGAATTCAGTTCTCTAAGTTGAGATGCTCCGCGGCGGGTTCCGAAACCGGATTCTTCACGAAACTGGGACGGTTGATCAAAGAAAAGGCGAAAAAGGATGTGGAGAAGATATTCTCTGGTGGGTTTTCGAAAACAAGAGATAATTTGGCTGTAATTGATGAGTTACTCCTTTATTGGAATCTATCTGACACCGATCGCGTCCTCGATGAATTAGAAGAGGTAATTCCATCAAAATTTACTTAGAAAGTTTCTGTGAATTTGAGTATGGATTAGCGAGAATTTCTGCAGCGAATATGATTGCAATGGAGTGGTAATGATTCGTAAATTAGATGCAAAATGGATTGATATGCTTTCTATATGTACTACTACAAATGTTTGGATGAAAAGAACTTGATTAAACTTCCCAAACTCTAATATAGACTTTTTCAATGTAATTTTGTTAGCATTGATCATTGAAAATGGTAGTAGTAGCAAGTAACTTCTGTGGAAACAGTTTGTAGATTAGATGAAAAATGGATTTATTTCTTATATTAAGGACTGTGAAATTTGAAAGATTTTTTGGGCAAAGGGTGGCTTCAAAATTGTATAATAGCCCTTTCGAGATGATCTCTTCTTCGAGTGGTATTGTCCCTGTTGGTTGTGATTGTGAAATGTGAGGTTTTTCCAGCTCTTGGTAGCAGGTTAACAACATTTTCTCACTGATGATTTAGTCTTTTAGTTGTTTGGAGGTTATTGGATTGGTCTAATATTTTGGGTTAGGGCATCACAATGATACAAGATCATTTATCTCTGGCTGTATAGATTGAGAAAGTTTTTGTTTGGGAGAGTTTTCTTATAGATGGAACGATCATGTTTTTTTTAACTGGGAGGGGCAGGTTTGAAAAAAACTTGGCTTTCTGCATAAAGCTCCCCCTAGAAGCTTAATGAATAAGCCACTTTCTATATCATCAAGTCACTACCAAACAATCATGTATACTGAATAAGCTGTGAGTTCCATTAAGCTCATTAAGCTTTGAGTTCCTAAGTAGGGTGCATGTGTGCATCTCCTTGCGATGATGGTTGTGGTATTTTATGGGGTTTAGTTTTAGGTGCGATGAAGGTATGTAAGTGGGGGATATGTAACATTTTCTCAATTGTGATTGTAATTGTGAGCCTTTTACAAGACCTTGGTAGTGGGCTACAAATAACTTCCTGCAGTTGTTTGGAGGTCATTAGATTAGTCTTTGTGAGCGGTGACCCTTGAAGTGTAGTTGATTGGACTCGTGCATCCCTTGGTTATATGCTGGTTTTAGGATTTTATTGGGTTCCGTTCATACACGACGAGGTTTAAGTAGGGTATTTTGATACATCTAAAGTGTTTTTGATTGTGAATGGTGAATCCCTTGTAACCCCTTGGTAGTAGTGGCTTATTAGTAACTTCCAACTGTTGTTAGAGTTGTTGGAGTTGTCGGGATAATTTAATGATCTGCTTTAAGACATTGCAATTAAAGCCATGGTGAAGGGGCCTCATGACTACTTTTGAGGTTGTAGCAAGGTGTTGATGGCTTGATAGAGCATGCATGACACATTGGCATAAACTACAATTTGTGAGGAAAGTGTTTGGTTTCAAGATTGTTAGACACATGCACAAATGAGTCGTCTAATGTTGGGGTTCAAAGTAAAAGGAGATGTTCTAATAAACCTTGATGGACTCATTGCCACTTTTTGGGTAACTATGGGTTTCTGGACTAGCTTACACATACCGACTAATCCCTTGGGTGACCACAAATGGCCTAGAGTCATCACAATCACAAATGAACCTCCATGGCCACAAGCCCACAACGGGAAAGATGAGATTTCCACCACTTCCCTGAGTCTTAACTAGTGTGCCACAACCCAAGTGTGCCACAAGGGCATATGGGTTGAACTTCAAAGTTTTTTTATTGGGTCTTCATGGGTGATAGGACCATAGGTGGCGGTGGTGTGCAAGCTCTTGTTCTTTCCAAACACATATTGAAGGAGTATTACATGGGTTTGGACTTCTACTTCGGAGCCAAAATTTTCACAAAGTGGTCTCCATTGTAGTACAAAGGTTATATCAAATAGAAATGTTTATTTGGAACTTAAGAATTCAAATGGGATCGAACTTTGAAAGGCAATCTCACAGAAATGATAGATTCACCAATTGGCCGCCAAAATGAAATAATTTATCATACAAATAGTTCCTTTCCACGTTTTAGTTGAATTTTTTATTGCATTTGAGAAATTTTGGTGAAAATGACACTTGTAAAGATATTGAAGGGCATATTACATAAAAGAATGTTGATTTTGCTTTAAGTAGTAGTTGCGCAATGGGGTGAGATCAGGGGAGAAGCTCAAAAAAGAGAAGAACTGAAGAACCATGAAAAAGTGGATGAAAAAAATATATCAATATGGATGCCAAATTATAGGTAATAAAATGATCGTTTCTTTGGTGTAATTTGAGCATGCTCCAATTTGGTTATTTTTGGCCGATTTTCGATTAGAAAAATAAGCGGTGATATTTTTATTTTTAAAAAAGGTGGTCATAACCACCTCTTTAACCACATTAGTTGGATCATCTCAATCTAACGGCTTGGATGGGTTATTCAGTTCTTCTTTTAGAGGGTTTCCGCGGATGTTTTCCCTATATATATATATATGCATTTTTAAAACAATGCATTAGTGATGCTTCACCTAACCCAGAACATTATCTACTTCGCAATTCACATTTTGTAATGATTTCTTGGGTTTTGGCGGTTTCTTTTTGGTTATTTTTATTTTCATCTATTCCAAACAACGAAATGCTCTTAAGTCTTAACTCCAAAAAACAGACTGCTTAAAGAGAAATGTTAATTTGTGCTTATTAGCATAGGTAATTTGATAATCAATCCCATATCAACAGTGACAATTGTTCCTTGATATTATATCTGTAACACCCTAGTTTTTATTAAATAAATCTCAAATTACAGCCTTAAATACACATATTTATACATAAACAAATGCTCCAGCAGCTGCTACATATAGAAAGTAAGCTAGTGATGAGTTGTTAAGGCTAGGAATGTGTTGGCAAGTCTAGTAAGCATGACCAAGCAAGCTAGTGATGAGTTGTTAAGGCTAGGA